GGGGACGTGTATGTATATTATGTACGCTGTATGTATACTATGTATGTACCCCATTTATATACATTACTTTTCTAGTCAGTAGCGTGTGGCAATGCCCATGTTTCATGTCACCACACGCTTAGATAAATGTGCCTGGCGACATCTGAAAGCTGCTAATGTACCACTTACCACATGTCGCCTGAGAGGTCAGAGAGAGGTCAGTTGACCCATATAAGAGTGTCAGGACTATCCGCGCTTGTGAGCGCACTCCTGTATATTTCCTTTAATAAGAACCTACAAAACTCTACAGGTGTTTATGTTCGCTCCTGTAGTTAGAACCCGAACATCTCCAATCACACCATGAAACATCATCCATCATCACTACATATAACACCACCCATCATCACTACATATAACAACATCCATCATCACTACATATTACATCATTCATCATCACTACATATAACATCATTCATCATCACTACATATAACACCATCCATCATCACTACATGTAACACCACCCATCATCACTACATATAACAACATCCATCATCACTATAAATCGGTAAAGTAGTTTCCGCGATTCTCGTGCGGACACACACACATGCATACTTCTTTCTTTTATATATATATATATATATATATATATATATATATATATATATATATATATATATATATATAGAGAGAGAGAGAGAGAGAGAGAGAGAGAGAGAGAGAGAGAGAGAGAGAGAGAGAGAGAGAGAGCACTTATATGGTGGGGAGTATGCTACTCCTCACCACATAAGTGCCATATCGCTTGGACGATCGGTTACGTTTCTGTTACGCACTGTAGGCAAGTACTGGGCATTCACCGGCTCCTGAATGTATCTGAAACTGCTCCAGTGTTGGTCAAGTCAGGCCTTGAAAGAGCTCACACTCGATGCCGTCACCACACTCTCTGGAAAATTGTTCCAAGAGTTCATAACTCTCACTCCGAAAAAGTTACCTCTCACATTTATCCGGGCTTGAGGCTCCTTTAACCTTGAGCTGTGTCCCCTTGTGGGGCCAGTGTCCGCCAGCTCCAGGTAAGGACACTCGACTGAGTAGTGCCCTCTTGAGATGCTTGTTCACCTCAATCAGATCTCCCCTTGCCCGTCTGAAGTACAAGCTAGGCAAGTTCAGGCGCTCCAGTCTCTCCGGGTAGCTGAGGTGCCGCAGTGCAGGCACCAATCTCCTGGCCTTCCTTTGGACATTTTCAATCAGCTGACAGTCCCTAGCATATCTCGGGTACCAGACGGGATGATAGTACTCCAGGCGGGTAAGCACTTCACTCTTGAAGATTGTTACGAAGGACGGCCTTCCTTTGGACATTTTCAATCAGCTGACAGTCCCTAGCATATCTCGGGTACCAGACGGGATGATAGTACTCCAGGCGGGTAAGCACTTCACTCTTGAAGATTGTTACGAAGGACGGACCATCTAGATATCTGAACAACCTTCTTATAAGACCTAATAACTTAGTTGCCTGGTTTACCTTCTTCTCGCAATGGCCCGAGAACTTCAATTCATTGTCAACGTACACACCTATGTCCTTTTCACATTCAGTCTCGTTTAATGCAGTCTCTTCGTCCCGTTGGGACATATGATACGCCTCCTTACCATTGGTACGTCCCAGGTGCATCCTCTTACACTTCGTGACATTTAATCTCAGCAGTCATTTCTTCAACCATTCTTGAAGCTCACAAAGACCCCATTGCAGCTCTTCACAATCCCCTTGGTTCTTAATTTCCCGCAAACATTTATATGGAGGAATGTACAGCTTCAGGCATGTCATTTATGAAGCAAACAAACAGCAGCGGGCCCAATACACTGCCCTGTGGTACCCCGCTTGTTACGGATACAGATGATGATTTCGTGCCATTAACCACCACACACTGCTTCCGGTCCTGTAGAAAGTCCTCTACCCACGCCAGGACATTTCCCCGAATCCTGTACCCTTCCAGTTTAATTTTCAGCCTTTTATTGGGTACACTGTCAAATGCCTTGGCAAAATCTAGATAAATAAGGGTCCTTATCTATTACTCTTTCAAGCATGTAAACCAGAGATAATTACATGAAAAAAATATATCTATCCTTCCTTTCCTTCTTTCATGAATTTCCCTACTTTCTTCAATCCCCTCCCTCTTTGATGAGAAACTTATATCATATACCACCCTCCCACACACCCCAAGTTGACCATTCCTCCTCTCCATCCCACATGACACAGGGCAGAAAGGACCCAGTCAGGTACAGGCATTAATGGTTGGAGTCGGTGATTACTTTTGACCGCTACTGTGCAATGGTATGGAACAAGATCACAGTCACTTTCCTGGTCTCACATCTCCACGGAGGAAGCTGACACCAAAATGTAAACAAAGAAATATCGTACATCTTTTACAATTAGAATATTTAAAACTCAAAACTTCTTCAAATAAGCATATTATATTATATGATCACAAAATATTAAAAATTATATAGAACCAATATAATTCACTTCCATCAAAAAAATGTATATTTATTACAAAGGATATACATCTTTCATGTTTGCGTTATCGAAAACTGCTCTTACAATGGTGATTGATACAAAATGAACATACAGCATACATATTAATATTATGTAAATACATAGACATATGCAACAACACACATTCCACAGCGCTGTATTTGCAGACCAAACGTTTGTTCATTGTATACTCCAACACGGCATCAGATCACCTGTTTTATGGTCCCTTTTGCTACTGTCGTTCTGGTGTGAAGTGTTGTCAGCTTCATGCTTATTACGCTAACGCAGAGATAAAATGCTCCCACAATTTTCCAGCTCATAGTCCTACAAATGCTCACATATTTTTTCCTATTTTTGGCAAGCTGTTCCACATTGTCCAGTGTCATATTCAAGCTGACACTGGAGTACTTAGTCCGACCCTGCACAGTCCATTACCTACGCTAATGACATTCGTGTATGTTCTAAAGCCACCATGAACCATGGTGTTACGATTACTTCTTTCTGAAATACGTAAAGGCCTCCAAAGCACTGGATTCCTGAAAATACTAATGATTTTCACCCCAAAACATGACAGTGACCTAACACACAGGCAACAAGTTCCCCTGAAAACTTTACATCAAATAACCATATGGACAAGCTTGTAGTTATAGGTCAGTTAAGGTCACATTTATAGGATAAAGTATATTAAAAGATAATCCAGTGTTAATAGAAACAAAATTTTAAACAGGTAGACACATTACTTTTATTTTGCTTTAATATTTACATGTCTTATGTACAAAAAAGAAAAAAGTAAGAAATGGAGCATAGTAACAAACACTCTTCTACCCGCGTACACCTAGGGCAAATTCCTACACTAGGATGGTTAAGACCAGTCTTACCGCGTACATAGTTGTATCTAGAACCTCTGTGGACATAAACGTCGGATCACACGTTAGTTGCAAGTTAGAAGAGGTAGTGGAAGAATTCAGTAGTTAATGTACACTGTTGACTAAATTCAACAGAAGTGCTAAGTAATAATTGCTTGAACTTGTGAAGTGTCACTTTGATGAGTCACTTATCTAAGTGGTGAATTCGCTGTTCCCTTAACTTAAATAAATGATTAATTGTATAAAGGAACTTAGTGAATAATCTTCTATATTCTCTCGTAAAAGGACAGATGCTCATTGCCGGTTAATTCGTCATAACACTAACATACTGATTTAACTGGCCAGCTAAAACTACAAGGCAAGCTTACAAGACTTACACATGTAACAGTGAAGAAGATAACTTACAATAAAATAATACAATAATACCTGCAATAATACAGTAAGCACACAGAGAACTTGTCATGAAACTTACACTCCTGTTGTGCATAATATAAGACATGACACCTGTACAGTGAACATGAAACGTTTAGTAAAGGTACTGTTGTTAGCAAAAGTTCTCCCACAGCCCTGTGTAGCAAGTTGTGGGAAGACTTTTTGCTGGCAACTGTACATTCAATTTGTTCCAAACTTGCACTACCAAATACAGTGGGTTCCTAACAGTGGGCATACAACCTTTGAGAACCTCGGTTTTCGAATTTCCACTGAGAAAACTAAGGTATTCAACGAACAAGTTGGTAAACGCAAACACAGCCTTTAATATAGGTAACAACACCATTGACTATGTCTCCTCTTTTAGATTTCTGGGTGTGTCTATCCCCTGTACCTCACCTGCCATACAAAAGTTATCCTGCCAAAGTACGGATAGGTTAACACCCCTTAGAACTGAAGCGGGGGAACAACTGTCGCGATCCCAATATCCTTTATACCTGGGGAGTGAAACCTACCCCAAGTTATTATCAAATAAAGGAACAAATTGGGAACACGGCAATAATTATCCCCACAAAAACCTACTCAACAAATGTACTTGAATAAGTAAGAACAGTTGAAATAAATTAATCACAAAAGGGAAGATAATTAATTAATTCAATTTATGTTCTAAAGGGAGTAATGACTAGCAAACATGAATTTAGGGGAATAAGTGATTAAATATTAAAATAAGAGTGATGCCGGAAGGGTGAAAATATACCGTTTAGGAGTTAGACCAAACGAATACTACTTAACATAACTATATTACGCAAACATACAATATATATATATATACAACAATCCCTACAAAATAGTAATTTCCTACCAAACAGGAGATTCCTTACCACCAGGATCCCTTCCTAGGCCTAACTAAACGTGTCACTAATAACCTGATACCACTAGGGCATTGCAGAAGCCTGGACAAAGCACTAGACAAGGGTCAAGGCTAGAGAAAGCATGGACACGTCTACCCTATGCCAGGGTTTTTCGCTACTGGGGAAGCGTCCCTAAGTGGAGGAGCGCGTCTCATATCACATGATCCAGGACATTTGCTAGATAGTGTATATAATTAATTAATACTACTCTTGATTTAACTTAACAGAGTAACACAAATGATGCATATTAATAACATACATAAATATACAATTAACCTAATTAACTAAGAACAACAATAATATAATAAGTCCAATTAACAAGTTAATAGCTTGTGTGGAATGGAGGCGTTAACATATGCCTCACGCCATGAGAGTTCCCGAGCGCTCAGGCGCGTGACACAATCTACACCCGTATCAACATTAAAATCATTAAGACAATACACTGCAAGATCTCTGATAGATGACCACGCACCAGTCGTGGTCCTTCGTGACAAACATGAAAAAAATGCTCCTAGATAAATTTTTGCTTACCAGTTGCTTGTAGTGGCTCTGTTCTTTAATGGTAGTGAGGGATACACAGGTCGCTTCTACACCAAGACCTCACCATCAACTTTAGATGAGATCAATATAATTATTATTGCCCCTTGACTCCTCTTGGTCGTCGTCTGTAAGAACTCTACCTCCAGGAGTGACTTCCTCTATGGAATAAAAAAAACTTTGTGGGGATCATAACTAGTATCAAGATGGTGTAAGATTTCAAAACAATGAGAAACAGCCTACTTGGGATCAGGCTGAAGCTAACCCATTGAGTTCAGGAACCAGGATCATTTGTTTCCTCAAGCTGATCGTATATTTTTCTTTAATATACATTTAGGGACAGACTCGAGCGTGAACTCTTGCAGTAGTAAGCTTCCAGGTTTATCTATTTTTCAAGCTCAAGAAAACCTCCGCGCACAACTGAACCTCCGCGCACAACTGAACCTCCGTGCACAAGTGAGCCTCCTTGCACAAGAGAACCTCCATGCACAAAAAACATTCGTGCACAAGAGAACCTTCGTGCACAAGAGAACCTCCGTGCACAAGAGAACCTCCGTGCACAAGTGAACCTCCGTACACAAAAGAACCTCCGTGCACAAAAGAACCTCCGTGCACAAGAGAACTTCTGTGCACAAGAGAACCTCCGTGCGCAAGTGAACCTCCGTGCACAAGAGAACCTCCGTGCACAAAAAACCTCCGTGCACAAGAGAAACTCCGTGCACAAGAGAACCTTCGTGCACAAGTGATTTTACAGAATCACGTGTTCAACCATTTCTTGAACATTTTGGAAGACATTCAGTCTTACAGGCTCCTGCGTGCTTCCAGTATCGAGAGCACCTTCTTCACACCCCAGGGCAATGTCCCTGTGCCCCCTTCTCTTGCCAACAGCTTCTACCCACTCATTCAGTTGCTGCCATTTTCGCTCTTCAACTCCCATCTGGAAATAAGCCTGCGAATTATTTATAACAAAACATAATTGTACATGTATCACCAGCCAAAGTCATCAGTCCTTTCTATAATCGTTTTAAGACCTTTGCACTTCTACCCTTTAACAGAATCTACAGAGGAGGGACGAGGTTCCCTAAAGTTCCTAAACTACCATCCGCTGCATACGATAAAATCCCCAGTTACCCTTTATCTGAAAAGAAGATAATGGTATAAAAGCATTGTAAAGTAAAACTTAGTTTATTGACCTTATTTTTTGCACCCCGAGACCGAGGAAGAAGTCAGTCACAAAACCACATATAAAGAGTGACAAGCATGAATTGTGGAGCAGACACGACACAAAGATAACAAGTTGGCACACTGGACTGTTAACATGGAGGTAGGCAGGATCCCTCGCTCAGCTGCATCTGTAAAAACACTCCAACGAACCATAACCTGACATTATAATGCAACCTTCATTCAGTAATCAACACGCCACCAAAGAATATTACTACTGATAAAAAAACACATTTTCAGACTTCATACACCAGCGGTAATATCAGCAGCCGGTGTCCGCTAGAATGTAATTAAGCTGCAAGTTTTAAATAATCGACTTTTAAGAACCTGTACCTTAAGCCTTGACTCACTTTCGTGTTTGGTAGTTTAAGGACTTTGAGCCTGGGAACGAAATTAAAGTGTAGTACCGAGCTTTAATCAGTTTCACCCGTGTGTCGTGTATTTTATGACACCTGACCATTACCCCTTCACCTGTGTACCTCAGGGTCTAAAAACATCATCATTGAACAAGATATATTGGTTAGTTGACCCACCTTAATCAATACCATCTGTTTTACTTAATCTACCTATGAGCTCCTTTAAACTAAAGCCGTATCCTGTTTTGTTATATGTAGTATAATGTGAGTAATTACAGCATTTATTACCACTTATTTGTGCCCTTGTTCTGCACTTGATATTGTCAGTGATGGAGATCAAACGTTGTTATATAAATTGTCTTTGAAACGTGATAGTTCGTACAGTGAATAAAGTTCTGCATGTACAAGACGAATTATTTTAAGGTCATTAAAAATATATAGAAAACAAGAATATAAAAACTACTACTACTACTACTACTATTACTACTATTTTTTTATATAATTGGCCTCCATCCTCCCCTAATAGCCATACCTTCGCCACCATTTTATTACATTAAAATTAAATATCTTAATCCATAAGTAGTTATCCTAGCTGTGTTGAGCTAGGTGAGCCTCAGATCTATGCGGCATTCAGTGACTGTTGCCTCATAGTCAATATCTGCAACTGTTGTCGGCTTTGGGGCCGATGCTCTCGTTCCCCTGAGGCAGAGCAAAGCAGACCTAAGGAGAGAGAAGGACAGTCGACGTCTCACCCAGACTGTAACATGACTTCTGGGCTGCTGCTTCTGTTCGGATAGCACCTCCGCGAGTCTGGCATAGAAACATCTTCCACTTGGTCCCATCCCACCAGAGGTTGTGAACACTAGAGCAGTGAAGCTGCCTTGATCAACGTTCTGAATTCTCTCCCCGTATTCCCTTATCTTGTCATTCTCGTTCCTCCTGTGTGCAGCATCGAGAGCTAAATTACAGTGACATGCGGCCATGGGATAAAAAATCCTGATGTCGAAGAAGGCTCGCTGTCCCTGCGTCCAGAATCCTCGAGCACTAACGTAAACACGGGCTTCGTTGGATGTGTTTGAAGTCCTATGTTGGAAATTCTCACCGTCCAATGGAAGGGGGGTTGGTTCTACCCTGACATCACGGCAGATTTCCTTCAACATATTTGCTGTGAGATCCCTTACTTCGTCATTCCTCATGCATATGAAGCCCCCTTTCTTGCACACCATGGCGTGAATGACGTCATAGGAAGAGTCACACACGCATTGGCAGGGCAAACCTTTTACTGGCCTACCATACCTTAGAGCATTGGCATCTGTAAATTCTTGTTTATTGAGACTGAAAGCATTTGCCCTTATCGGTAATGAAGTTAACCAGTTCAAGGCGCCCACCTCCTGCACTATAGCTACTTTTTTTTTAATTCTCTGATAATTGCAGCAACAGTTGCCGCAACTTATCACTTTGGCCGTGCTGTCGTTCTGTCGTAATGGACCTTCTTATCTTGTTTACTTCAATGGTATCCACCTACCCTGTTGCGTTCTGAGCAATTATGCGGTCCGTGAGGGCTGCCGTGAGCTTAACTGGGTTTTAATGCTCGGTGGCAGCAATCTCCTCTAGATTGGTCAATCCCATTCTTCCCAGTCTCGGTGATAGTGCAAGGAGTGATCTTTCTTTTGGGGTTAAGTGAGGGTGTTTCACTAATTTGAGAATGAAATTGACGCTGATAGCTTCTTCCAGAGGGTGGAGGAGGGGTCAGATTTCAGGTAGTTCCAGCGATGCTTGACTCCATGGGTGAATGCCGCAAAAGCCGCATGTGGCTCTGTATTAGCAATCTTAGACAGAGCTTGGATTTCCCTAACCCATTCATTCGCCTTACCCGTTACATACTCGGTCTTGAAGTCCGACGTGCAGATTACTGCGCCTAGGTGTCTTTGGCCATCCTTTGTTATTTTGACCTCACTTCCACGGAACACCTCCACTGCCCGTTCATACTGTTCTGGCTTCACAAAGAGGAAGGACTTGCTGGCCTTTGGGTGGTACCCTAATAATAATAATGATATAACTAATATTATTGTTAGCAGTAGTAATAGTAGTAGTAGGAGGTGGGCTTCTCGAAATGGTTAACTACGTTACCGATAAGGGCAAATGGTTTCAGTCTCAATAAACAAAAATTTACAGATGCCACTGCTCTAAGGTACAGTAGGCCAGTAGAAGTTTTGCCCTCCCAATGCGTGTGTGGCTCTTCCTATGACGTCGATCACGCCACGGTGTGCAAGAAAGGGGGCTTCATATGTGGAGATGTTCTGGGTACTTAGTTCTAACTACAGGAGCGAACATAAACACCTGTAGAGTTCTGTAGGTTCTATTCAATGGAAATATACAAGGGTGCGCTTACAAGCACAGGTAGTCCCTACACTCCTATATGGGTCAACTGACCTCTCTCTGACCTCTCAGGCGACATGTGGTAAGTGGTACATTAGCAGCTTCCAGATGTCGCCAGGCACATTATCTAAGCGTGTGGTGACATGAAACAGGGCATTGCCACTCGCTACTGACTAGAGAAGTAATGTATATAAGTAGAGTACATACATGGTATACATACAACATACATAATATACATACAATATGCATGAGGCATGACGAAGTAAGGGATCTCACAGCAAATATGTTGAAGTAAATCTATCGTGATGTCAGGGTAGAACTGATCCCCCTTCCATTGGACGGTGAGAATTTCCAACAGAGGACTTCAAACACATGCAACGAAGCCCGTGTTGACGTCAGTGCTCGAGGATTCTTGACGCGGGGACAGCGAGCCTTCTTTGACATCAGGATTTTTTATCCCATGGCCGCATGTCACCGTAACTTAGCTCTCGATGCTACACACGGGAGGAACGAGAACGATAAGATAAGGGAATACGGGAAGAGAATTCAAAACGTTGAACAAGGCAGCTCCACTCCTCTGGTGTTCACAACCTCTGGTGGGATGGGACCAAGTGCAAGATGCTTCTACGCCAGACTCGAGGAGGTGCTATCCGAACTGAAGCAGCTGCCCAGAAGTTATGTTACCACCTGGATGAGATGTCGACTGTCCTTCTTTCTCCTTAGGTCTGCTTTGCTCTGCCTCAGGGGAACGAGAGCATCTGCCCCAAAGCCGGCAACAGTTGCAGATATTTACTATGAGGCAACTGTCACTTAATGCCGCATAGCTCTGCGGCTCAACTAACTCAACACAGCTAGGGTAGCTACTTATGTATAATGATATTTAATTTTAAGGTAATAAAATTGCGGCGAAGGTGTGGCTATTGTAGGAGGCTGGAGGCTACATAAAAAAAGTAGTAATAGTAGCAGTCCTCGACCAATACATGTGAGGGAGTCTATGAAGTAACAAAAACAACAAGCTGTTACGTACAATATATGTATAAATCATCTCTCCACTTTAAGCTCATTACCTGGTTAAGGTCCTGAAAACACTCAACATAAAGACGAGTAGAACTTTAATAATTTAGCTTATAGGTTTTTAAGTTCTCTAATTTATAATTCGTGGCTTAATTAAATTTTAGTGGACATTGGCTGCTGTATGATGCTGTTGGTGTTTGAAGTAAAAGATGGTGTTCCTTCTAGGTGATTGTGATTTATTGAAGTATTGGTATGAGTAATGACTCTTGTTATGCCATGAAGTAGTTAGCTTGTCTGTCTGAATTTCCGGAATCCTCTATACATGTTCTCAAAATCATTGGAAAAACTTCTACGAACTTATCATACTGAACTAAAAGTAATTGATATCTGAAGCGTAATCAAAACTAACGGTATTTTACATATATGCAGAATGTTAGAATAAATATACATCATTTGGGGATTAAAAAAGTGACGGGATAACCCCATGAAGTGAGAGAAATGTAAGTTTATTTAGTATTTAACTATTTCAAAATTAATGATGACTTTTTGTTATTGCTTCCGGGGTAATGGTTAGTCAGTGCAGTTGGTGAGTTGTCCGGTCTTCTCGGATTATTTTTTGACACTGGGTCATGCAACTCGTTAAATTAGGGTGTGGTTGTTGTGTTGGCGACAGCCTCTACATCTAAACAAATTCACGCCTAGGTGGCCCTTGGGCCGGCCATCCTCATACACGAGGGGCAACCATAGGTGGTCATTGGAACAGGTAATACTTCTTGTCCTTTGTCTCTCGTTCAGTAAACTGTGTGTGTGTGTGTGTGTCTGTGTGTACACACTACACAGGGTAGTGAAATACATCTAGTGTGGCAGCATTATGTTAGTGTTAAGGTGCAAGCACTGCTTGCTCCCTCTCGCTTTCAGCTGCCGCCGCTGGCTAGCCCTCGTGGCGAACAGGGATACAACTTGCATAAGTCTTCCCTGCCAGTACACAGCCTCCTCACCATCAAGACTCCTGCTGTGCCTCCTCGTGGCAACACATGGTAACTGGGTGCCTCGAAGGCCCAGGCTTGATCAGCAGACGCTCTCGGAGTAGCAGTGGGCCCCAGAGGGATGGTGCATAGGCTCACTGGCATGTGGACGCATCCTGGCGCCTACCAACCACCGCCCCGTTACCTTGCAGATTAACCTTGGCAGGCATAAGGCTACGGAAGTAAACCCAAACGGCGGTGTAGGCGGAAGAGGTGACCACCAACGAAGCCCAACTCCCCCTCTCCCCAGTTGTTGCAACACTTGCACCACTGGATTAGGAAAAGGGAGAGCCAAGATGTGTGGTTGCAGCCTGCTCTCCTACCTCACCACATAAATAAACTCACGCCCAGCCATCACCTATCTCATCATACCTCTCATCATCATCAAACCCCTTATATCGCCCAAAAGCCCTATGGCGACTGACGAGTGGCGACGGGGACAGGCAGAGATGACTGCTGGGAGTCTCTAGTCACAACTCTGCACATGGGCGGTGCAGATAAGATTGTCGTTTATGCACTGGGATCAAGAAACAGTGCAATCCGGTCCTGTCTGTGCGACTGAGCGGCCCTTACAAGGAGCTAGTCTCCTCACCCCACACTGGGAGGGGGCTAGAAAAGGTGCCCTAAACATAGCCTGGCTAAAAACCCAACCTGACTGGGCAACCGCACCCAGTAAGGTCATCCTTATGCGGTCGAAAACACAATCAAAATCATAGATCCAAACAAAAACAAACCTCTTATGGTCGCTTCATGGAATATCAGGACCCTTCTGGATACTGGCACAAATGCGCATCCTGAAAGAAGAACTGCCCTTGTGACAAAAGAGCTGGCTAGTTATAACATCGACATAGCAGCCATCAGTGAGTCCCGGCTCTCAGATGAGTGCCAACTCACAGAACGGGGGTCTGGTTATACCTTCTTCTGGAAGGGTAAGCCTGCTGCGGAGAGAAACTGCATATATGGAATTGGCTTTACCATCCATCAACGAGTCCCACTGAATCACTCACATCATGCCTTCTTCATCAGTGCATACGCCCCAACACTGGTTGCAGAGGATGACATCAAGGAGGCCTTTTATGGCGACCTCGACAGAGGGCTAACCTCTATTCCCAGATAAGACAAGGTTGTGCTCCTTGGCGACTTCAATGCCAGAGTTGGCAGAGATGCTAACATTTGGCATGAAACCATGGCCTACTCCTCCTCAGCAAGTGTGCTGCTCACAACCTCACTATTACCAATGCCTTGTTTAGGCAGACAGACAAGTTCAAGGGATTGTGGCAACACCCGCGATCCAAACACTGGCCTATCATTGACTACATCATTGTCAGAGAAAGAGATCGCCGAGATGTCCTCATCACCCGTGCCATGCATGGCTCAGACCACTGTGACACTGATCATCGAATTGTCAGACCCAAGCTCTCACTTCACATTGCCTTAAAACGGCAGAGGCAGCAAGCCTCCAGAAGAGGTTTAATGCGGTAGCGCAGCTTTCAGAGAGCAGCTCAAACATGGGCTTATAAACAACCCAACAGCAACCAACGTGAATCCCAGTGCCGAATGGGATACTCTTAAAACTGTTATGACAAAGACCTGCAGAGAGATCCTCGGCCAGTTCAAGAGAATACACCACGACTGGTTTGATGAAAATGACCAGATAATCAAAGTACTTATCGATGATAAACGTGCTGCTTTTATTGCCTGGCAGAACAACCCTTACTCTCGGACCAAAGCTGATACCTTCCGCAAGAAGAAAGCACTAGCCCAACGGGAACTTCGCAATCTAAAGAACGACTAGCTTAAAAATAAAGCATGTGAAGCACAAAAACCTGCAGATCAGCACAAGATGCGCGAATTTTTCATTTCCACTAAAACATTTTATGGGCCAACCACTCGTGGAGAAGCCCCCCCCCGCCCCTTCGCTCATCTGAGAGTAACCACATAATTAAAGACGACGGAGGCCTCCTTCAGCGCTGAAAAGAGCACTACCATTCATTGCTCAACCAAAAGACCGATGTGGATGTTCTAACTTCCCAGCAGGTCCCTCAGCATCTAGAGCTGACCCACCTCAGCTATCCTCCATCCCTGGATGAGGTAGCTACTGCCATCAAACAGATGAAAAATAACAAAGCCTCAGGGCCTGATGGAATCCCAACCGAGGTGTATAAAGCAGGAGAACCTCTACTTACCAGCCGTCTCCACTCTCTCCTGGAGAATAAATGAGAAATGGAGGAAATCCCCAAAGCTCTTAAAGATGCTTCCATTGTCAATATTTAGAAGAACAAGGGAGACCGGTCAGATTGTGGCAACTACCGTGGAATCTCGCTGCTCTCCGTAGCTGTCAAGATTATCGCCCGAGTCCTCCTAAACAGACTTCTTCCTGAAGGGAAAACTTCCTACCAGAATCTCAATGTGGTTTTAGACCATTAGGTGGCACCACTGACATAATCTTTGCTGCCTGCTAGATACAGGAAAAGTGCAGAGAACAGTGTCGTGACCTGTACATGGCTTTCATCGAGCAAACCAAGGCCTTCGACTCGGTCAACAGGGAATCCCTCTGGTGGTCCCTAAGCTGTTTTGGCTGCCCACCAAAATTCATCGCCATTGTGAGGCAACTCCACGACGGCATGAACGGCAGTGTCATGCACAACTGCACCCAGTCAGAGATCTTCCCCATCTAAACAGGGGTTAAACAAGGGTGTGTACTGGCAGCAACTCTCTTTTCCATCTTCTTGGTTGCCTTCCTTAATTGTGCCAGTGCCAATTTAGCCAGCGGGGTGAACATCGAGTACTGGGTGAAGAGGGTCTTTTCATCATAAGACGACTCCAGGCAAGAACAAAGGTGTCGGCAGCTTCCATTACTGAACTTCGGTATGCAGACGACTTCACCCTTGTTGCTCACACTAAACACGACCTACAGGAGATCCTGAACACCTATGCAGACGCATTTGTACACTTCGGCCTTGAGGTGAATGTACTTAAGACTCAGATTCTCTTTCAATCTGCCCCTGGTTCACACACACACACCTCCACCATCCACCTAGCTTAACGGTACTACACTCTCTAATGTAGCCCACTTTCGGTGTCATCGATGAAGAGATTCAGCATTGGATCAGATATGCATCTTTAGCCTTGGGCGGACTCCGAAATCGTGTCTTCAGCTGTAAGAAGCTGAAATTATCCACAAAGCTGCACGTATATCGAGCAGTGGTCCTGCCCACCCTACTATATGGCAATGAGACATGGGTCACATACAGGAGGCACCTCAAGGCACTTGAAAACTTTCACCAACGTTCCATCCTCCGAGTTCGCTGGGAAGACAGGAGAACAAATGCCAGCATTCTTACTGACACCAACTGTAGTAGCATCGAGGCTACCATTATCCATCAACAACAACGTTGGACTGTCCATGTTACCCGCATGGACGACAGTAGACTGCCAAAGCAGCTACTTTACAGTCACTTAACGAATAGTAAACGTAACGCTGGCGGGCAATTGAAAAGGTATATGGATAGTCTTATGACAAACCTGAAAAGGTGCCAAATCGACCCCCTCACCTGGGAGTCGATTACTCCACATTGCAAAGCATGGAGGAGCACCACACAAGAAGGTGACAATACTTTCGAGTTAGCCCGACTGCTAACCGAGGCAGATAAGCGCCAACGACGGAAAGACGCTGCCTCTACATGTGCAACAAATGTGGACGGCGCTGCCGGTCCCGGATCGGGCACTTTAGTCACCTCAAAACTCATTAACCTAGGTGACATCCCTAATAACCCATATCATTTTATCATAGCTGGATGATCGTCATACTCGATTCCGAGTGACAGTAAAGTAGTAGTATACTAATATTACTTTATAAGCATGTATTTGTGTTAGTGTATGTTTATGTGTATATGCATTGGCAATATTTTTGCTTTTGTTTAAGTGCATGTCTTGCTTGTTTATGTATATGTGAATGTATATAAGTGTACATATACTGTATGTGTTTGCATGTATGTATGTATATATGTATGTGTTCACAGTGATGGTGAGCTCGTCGCGTGTCATGTCAAATACACACAATTGTTTAGCATGAAGTAAGAGTGACAAGATCTCAACTGTCTCACTAATATCTATGGTTAATAATGAATAAAAAAATAGTCAAATAGATCACTTTTCAGTAAACGTTGGAAGTTAGTGAAGTTGGTGTAGAGAAGGAATATATTAATATTTCATCTTTATGTTGGGAACTATTTGCCCATCGCCACATAGATCTAAGTAATGAAGTGTAGAAGCTAAATAAATGTGTAGAGATAACAACCAGAAAGCCGTAGGAGCTGACGACGAGGATCATGTACACGTTGGCGGCCGTGCAGAGGAGGACCCAGAACAGCCCGCGTGGGATGTATGTCCTATTCTCAACGATCAGGATGGCACTCAACACGATCTGCATCACCAGGACTACTAATGCAAACCACACCCAAGAAATCACCAGCCGTCGGTTTTCCTGTCGAGGATGGTGGGAAGTGATTATAATTTTTTTTCTATATGAAGCTCATGGGTTTTGAGCATAATAGTAATAGTAATTTTCACGCAATACAGAATAGGAATAACGTATGCACAGATTCAAAGGTAATGTATTTACAATATGGAAGCATAATGTATTGTCCAATGGTAGACCCTGCTACCATATGACATCACAAAAATTGTGACCAAGTCTCAGGTTGCTAATCTGACTTTCTGCCTCATTTACACACAATAGTGTGTTCTGAATTGCTCCTCTTTCTTTGAAAACACAACATGTATATACCGTTTTTCAATATTGATATTTTTTTGTATATTATATTATATTATATTATATTATATTATATTATATTATATTATATTATATTATGTTTTTATTAATTTTTATTTTTTATTATTATTATTATTATTATTATTATTATTATTATTATTATTATTATTATTATTATTATTATTATTATTATTATTATTATTATTATTATTATTATTATTATTATTATAGTTTAACCCCCAGGCTAGGGTGTGTCAATTTTGTCAACATGTTAAAAATCAAATTTGGTAGTCAAAATATTGTGCCTCTTTATGTCTAAACTTGAGATTAGCAAACAAAAATGAATTGAAATAACCCTCACCTACATCAATTATACCTTAAAGTTTCAAATATCAGTATTTCAACAAATTAATGAGACTTGATTAGAATTATTCACTTGATATTAACTAATCTCATGTAAGCATATGGATTATGGAGTATTTTATGGTTCTATAGCTTGTGTACAATATGCATGTCAGAACATGAACATGAACAGGCTCTCCGTGTGGGACAGTTTAATTATTGTTTTGACTTGTACCAAGCGTGAGGATAAGGCGCCCGGCTCACTCTCCTTCTAGATATCATAGACGGTGGTTTGCTCTCATTGCACTTGCACCTACTCTACCAGACGAATTCTACATTTTGATTGTCGCAGTTACTTATATCATTGTATAAAACATTATGTTCTAAGAAATTATTATGTTATTTCTGTTACAGCATTTTTGATAAACAAATTGATATTTTTTGAAACAACTATTGAATTATGAAACATTGAAATATTTTTCTATTTGTCAGATAGTGTGAAGATGTCAAAATTGAAGACAAGAAGTCAGTTGTCAACCCACTTGAGCCTGCTAGTTGGTGAAGGGAAGGAGCTTCCTGTATCAGAACTTCCAACAGTGAGAGACATGCTAAGATTAGGGTTACTCCTTCGAGAAAAAAATGCAAAGGACAGAAGGAACTATACAGATAAAGAACTCATAAATGACATGATAGTCCCTCTTCTGCATCAATGGACAAAAGCTAATGCACTATTCAAACCACCTGTGATTAATCAGTGTCGAACTATTGAGCTAAAACTAACGAAATTATGGCACAAAGCAGTTGAAACATCACTTGGTAAAGGAAACTTGGCCAGGAAAAATGAATTTCTGCACACACTTGATATTCTGTTTGACATTTTGACCTGCAAGTGCTCCATACAATTATGTTCTGAATCCAACTGTTCTCACTCAGGTAAGAGAGAAAATAATTCCCACATTGATTGTGGTTGTCCTCGTGAAAAGAAGATCCCTGTTTTAGAGCTTGAATTTATAAAGGCACAGAGGACAAAGGCAGAAGGCCAAGGAAGTATGCAAATGGGTTCAATAGATTATTCAGAAACAAAGAAGCAGATTGCTAATGCCAAGAAGAGAGAACAAATCCGAGAGAGGGAACAAAAGAAGAAAATGAAGAGTGAAGAAGCCATCCAAAGAGAGGAAGAGCTGTGTCAAGATGTTTATCACTTCTTTGATAGTTCTTCTGATGAACAGGAAGCAACATCAGATGATAGTTCCAAAGAGCCATCTGAACCTTTACCAAAGAAAATGAAATACAACACAAGAAATATTTCAAACATTGCTTTAGCTAGTATTCGCCACCATGCTGGACTTCGTGAGGCTGCAGAAATTGCAACTGCCGCTTGGATAGATGCAGGCCTCATCAGCCGAGAGGATGTATCTTTGGTGATAGATCATAATAAAATTAGAAGAGCACAAGAAAAAATAATGAAGGAAATATCTGATCAGCATGAAAAAGATTTAAGCGAGGGAGGGCTCTCCTGTCTTTTGTTTGATGGAAGAATAGATGACACAAAAGTTTTGCTAGAAGTAGAGGGAGTGAACAGAAAGTTTCCAGGTCTCATCAAAGAAGAACACTACTCTGTCTGTTCTGAGCCTGGTGGTCGGTTTTTGTTTCACTTTGCTCCCGAAACTGAAGTAGAAGGGAAGAAACATGCAGAGGTCATTGCTGATCATATTTTATGTTGGGTTCAGGAGAGAGGACTTGGCAGTTCACTGCAGGCTGTTGGTGGAGATTCAACTGCAGTGAACACCGGATGGCAGGGGGGTGTAATGACGCATTTAGAGAAAAAACTAGGAAGAAGACTTGTTTGGATTGTATGTGATTTACATACAGGCGAGCTACCTCTTCGTCATCTCATCCAGGAACTTGATGGTCCTACAAAGAGCAACAACAAGTGGTCAGGTCCCCTTGGCATCATGCTGGATGAAGCAACACAACTAGAAATAAATACAACCTTTCCAAAGGTCGAAGTTGGCCCTCCCCTTCCGGCGTTGTCTGAAGGAGTCATCAAAGATCTCAGCACAGATCAATCCTATGCTTATCGTATTGCCCAAGCAATAAGATCAGGAGAAGTGCCTCAGTCATTGGCTCTCTTGGAGATTGGACCTGTCAGTCACAGCCGTTGGTTAACTACAGCTCTTCGTTTCTGCAGGATTTGGATTTCCAAACACGAATTGAAGGGCAAAGTGCTGAAGAATTTGAGGTTAATTGTTGAATTTATTATTGGAGTTTATCTTCCCCAGTGGTTTAGTGTGAAACTTAATCCTATGTGGGTGGATGGGCCCAATCACCTTTTGTTTCAATTGCAGCTAGTAAGAACACAGAGGAAGGTAGTGAGGGACATCGTGTTACCTGTGGCAAGAAGGTCCGCTTGGTATGCTCGATCAGAAGCAGTTTTGCAAGCAATGCTTTGCAGTCAATGTACCAATCTCCGAACCGAGGCTGTAGAAGTCATTCTAAAGATTAGAGGAACGCTAATAGATGACGACCAGTTGGGAGACTGTTCGTTTCATTCAAGAAAAGTTCCCCCAATAAACGTCAATGCCACCAAATTGTCAGAATTGGTTGACTTGAGTTTGGAAGTCTTAGAGCCACCATTGACAACAAGTCTAACTAGCCAAGAATTGAGAAACCTTAAAGAGACTCCAATGCAGGTGCCGAAGTGGCCTTCCCACACTCAAAGTGTGGAGAGATGTGTGAAAATGGTCACAGAAGCAGCGGGCCATGTTTACAGCCACGAGAGGCGAGAAGGTTACATCAAAGCACAAATAGCAAGCAGACTACTGATGACAAGAAACCAAAGCAAAGAGAGTATGAAGGCATTGGTTACTTTCAAATAGACTACGGATAATAAAATATAATAATTTGAAACTTGAAACAGTAACATGTGTGCAAACGCTGGTTATGTTATAAATTCACAAATATGTACATTTAAAAATCCATTTGATGTAGGTAGGACTTATTATAAAAAAAATTTATGCCAGAATATTGTTTTGCATGCTTAAAGACTACAATAAATTGCTACCAAATTACTCGATTTTCAATTTAGCCAGTTCACCCCCTAAATTGACACACCCTACCCCAGGCCCCGATGTAGGTCTTTGACCTGTGCCCGGGTGGCTAATCCCATAAAAAAAAGGCAATTGTAATTCCCGTAAGGTAATAGCTTTATGAAAAGACCGCCTCAGTTAAGGGCCTCAAATACTGCTTTGTGTTAACTCAATGGTTTTTGTCATAAAACTTGGCTTTGACTTGACAATGGCTAAAGGGTTGGGGTGGGGGATATAATTGACAGGATGGACAATATCTTGTCTGGTAATGGGAACAAACCCATTATCTGCCTCAGTGCAGTAAGCAATGATATTGGCTGGTGTAGGAGCGAGGAGCTTCTTGATAAGTTCAAGGCAGCTATAGATCGTATTAGGACTAAGGGAGGGATCCCTATCATATGCGGTGTCCTGCCTAGAAGGAGAGTTGGCAGTGAATGGTTGTCAAGGGCAGTTGGTGTCAACGACCGTCTTGACAGATAATGCAAGTCAATATCAGTCCCATTCATTGACAACTGGGACAACTTCTACGGCAGAAGGGACCTTTATGCTAGGGATGGGGTGCACCTGTCTAGGGATGGAGTAGCAACCCTGGCTGGGGCTCTAGAGGGGGCAGTTCAAAAGATATCGAAGTCTTTAAACTGCTAGGAGAACATATGAGCACAGGGGTGGAGGAGACTGCAGTGGGAGGGGGTAAACAAAGTGAAAGATTACAGGGAAATAGTGTTAGGAATGATGACAAAACTAAATTAGACAGGGAGTTTAAAACTAAATGCGGTAAGGGAAGGACTCAGAACACGACTAACTTAAATGTATACTACGCGAACAGTAGAAGTATGAGAAACAAAATGGATGATATTAGGGCCTTGGTATGTACCGAAAAAATCGATATAATAGCATTCACTGAAACGTGGATCAACCTAGACACACGTGAGTTACCGGTCGAATACCAAATTGCGGGTTACAAACTGTTCCATACCGATAGGCAGACCAGGAAAGGAGGCGGAGTAGCAATCTATGTTCGGGATAATCTGAAGTGTGAAATAAATAAGGAAATAAATACTGAGCGGAGTACAGAAACAATTTGGATAGAATTAATCGACGGTAGGGAAAAATTAATCACAGGAGTAATATATAGACCTCCCAATCTTGATAGAGTCAATGAGCGACTTATCTGGGATGAAATGCGCAGGGCTTCCATACACAACAAAGCCTGTATAGTAGGCGACTTTAACCTTGGCCAAATAGATTGGACTGACCTCACAGGTAACTCAGAATCAGAGGATTTTCTCGAGACGATCCAGGACTGTTTTCTAAGTCAACATATAACCGAACCCACCTGCGGTAATAATATACTCGATTTAGTTCTGTCAAACAGAGAAAACCTCATTAGCAATGTCGAGGTAGGGAACGAACTTGCAAGCAGGGATCACAAAGAAATTATATTCCAGTTAGATTTTCAGGGCAGACGTAAGGAAAATTCCACTTAAGTACCAGATTTCAGAAGGGCAAACTTTGACAGTTTAAAGAGGCAGCTGAGAGAGGGGGTGTCGCGCTTGGCCGTGAACCTGACAGATGATACCGACCTGTTAACGAGATCTGAGATTGCCGAGTTCCACGACAATTTAAATAGTGAGTTACTTAATACACAAAGGCAGAACATACCATACAAAAAACTCAGATCAGACAACAATGACCCTAAATGGATAAATAATTATTTAAAGAACATCATTGGCCAAAGGAAGGCTATAGGTAGAAGGATAAATCGTGGCGAAATTTACCTCCGGGATTATTATAGGGTATTGGCGAGTAGGGTTAAAACCGAGATAAGGAAAGCCAAGAGGAATAATGAGGTAAGGATAGCAAGGGAGGCGAAGACAAACCCCAAAGGATTCTACCAAATGTATCAAACTAAAACACGAGAAAAGATTGGTCAGACACCGGCGAGCTCACTGATAACGACAGAGAAATTAGCAATAATTGGAATAAATATTTTTCAACAGTTTTCACCACCGAAAATTTAAACATGATACCCGAGGCACCGACTCTATTCAGAGATAGTGAAGAAAACAAATTAAGCGAGATAGTAGTGACTAGTAACGATGTTAGTAAGCAAATAGACAAACTAAAGCCTAATAAGTCACCGGGTCCTGATGATATATTTGCCAGAGTATTAAAGGAATGTAAAGAAGAGCTTAGTATGCCCTTAGCAAAGTTGTTTAACATGTCCTTAAAAACAGGTGTAGTACCAGAATCCTGGAGGATAGCGAATGTAATACCGATTTTCAAGAAGGGGGATAGATCACTATCCTCTAACTACTGCCCAATCAGTCTAACATCAATAGTAGGCAAATTACTGGAAGCAATCATTTCAAACTCTATTCGAAATCACCTGGTGAAGCACAGATTGATCAATAATTCCCAGCATGGCTTCACAAGCGGACGTTCATGTCTAACTAATCTATTAACATTCTTTTCATCAGTTTTCGAATCCGTGGACGAGGGGCACAATTATGATGTGGTATATCTCGACTTTAGCAAAGCCTTCGACAGAGTCCCCCACGAAAGACTAATTAGAAAGGTAGAAGCACATGGCATCAAAGGTAATATCCTTAAATGGATTAGGGCGTGGTTACAGGACAGGAAACAGCGAGTGAGCATTGATGGCACTGAGTCCCATTGGAGTAACGTCACAAGTGGAGTTCCCCAAGGCTCAGAACTTGGATCATTATTATTTATTATATACATAAACGACATAGATATCGGCATAGACAGCAACATAAGCAAATTTGCTGATGACACTAAAATAGGACGTGTTATTAAATCTGACGAGGACTCCACAAAACTACAGGAAGATCTAAAAAAAAATTTCGAATGGTCTGAAAAATGGCAGATGAAATTCAACGTCGACAAATGTAAAGTACTCAGTATAGGAGATGTAAACAGGGAAACCAGATACCAGATGAACAACGATGCCATAGAGAAATCCGACTGCAAGAGAGATTTAGGAGTAATGATAAGTAGGAACCTTAAGCCAAGTAAACAATGTGTTTTTGCTCGTAACAAGGCTAATAAGTACTTGGGTTCATACAAAGGAGTGTTAGTTACAAGACTAGCGAGGTCATCCTAAAACTGTATCTTGCTCTTGTGAGACCACACCTGATTACCCAGTTCAGTTCTGGTCACCTTATTACAGAATGGATATAGAATCCTTGGAAAGAATTCAGAGGAGAATGACAAGACTAATCCCGGGCATTAGGAACCTTGAGTATAGAGACAGGTTAAAGCATCTTAATTTGCACTCCCTCGAGAGACGTAGAGCGAGGGGCGACCTGAAGAGGTGTATAAGTGGAAGGCAGGGCTAAACAAAGGGGACATTACAAAGGTACTCAAACTATCCAACCAGGAGAGAACTCCTAACAATGGTTTTAAATTAGACAAATTTAGATTTAGGCTTAAAATAGGTAAACACTGGTTTGGAAACAGAGTAGTGGATGAATGGAACAAGTCACCAAATATCATCATTAACTCGAATACGCTGAATAGCTTCAAACATAGGTTGGATGCTTATATGAGCAACAGTGGTTGGGTTTAAACGGGACTGCCCAGTATGGGCCAATAGGCCCGCTGCAGTTTCCTCCATTCTTATGTTCTTATGTTCTTATGTTCTAACCTTGAGCCATTCTGTATACGGTAATTAAATTTTCTTATAATATAGTTTATTGCTACATTTGGTCGCCCTTATACGGTTGCATGATACATGAAAAGAAGGTTTTTGATCACAATTTAAAAAAGGATAGAATTACAGAATAAAGATTAATGTTATAAACAAAACTCTAATGTAAATATGTTTTGTCTTTATCATCCCTTAACAATTCTCATGTAGAAAGCCTTATCATATCTTGTTATATCACACTGAATGTCAATGCATTATTAATACATCACTGACTGCTATTGATAATAATCAGCTGAAATAAACACAATAAAAAATTCCATGAAGTAAGTAAATAAAATTAAAGTTAATTAAGGAGGAAATTGATGATTCTATTAATATTCAAGTTTTTTGTTCGTTGCGAGTTTGTTAAACTTCTTGATCATGAACGCTGCCTTGATCACTTTGCACAAATAGCCTAGTTCTCCTATTGCTTTGATCATCCTTCAGCATCTGCCTGTCTATAATTTTCCTCTGTCTCAACCTGTCAAAAAGTAGAGCTAAACTAAACTATACTGAAATTTTACAGAAATCTTCCTAAAACATAAATGTATTTTTTGGTTATTTTTTGTATATTGAGAAATATTGTTATTATTCGTACTTATACATGTCATTCTCATCAGAAAATTCAGAAGTATGGTATTATTAACATCACTAAAAGGTCAGAGTTTATGAGTTTCAGACCTAACTAGATATCTACCTAACTCACTAATTACCTAACTTAGTAACTACCTACCTTACTAACTACCTAACTAACTAACTATCTCGGAGGCCTGATTATTATTGTTGTTGTTTTTACTCGATGTCATGTCAGAGCTCAACACTTACAACACATAAAGAACCCACTTTACCCAACGCTTTATTACAACACACTTTCCTTCATCCCCCATTAATAATAAGATTTTTAATTATTCATTAAAATACATTAATAAATACACTTTTGCATACTAATAAAACTACAATTTTTACTTACGAATGTTGCGCCGATGATTAGTAGTATGCAGAGAGCAATGTCCACGGCACAGACTGATTTGATAAACACATACAGTAAGGTTTCTGAAATGAAGTAGAAGTGTGAGAAACCAACAAACAGACAGACAGACAGACAGACAGACGGATAGACCGACAAACAGACTATAATTCAACCAGGTTCATATTAAATCAAATAAAGATAAAGGCAACAAAATGATAATCACTTTCATTCATTTTCAAATTCTTAAAAATAATACATAATTAAAAATTAGTCATTCTTACAATGTTAAAATTTGAAGGTAATTTATCTTCATTAAAAATTTTCTTTCATGCCACTTATTTTTCTTTATTTTCTTAAGTTTTCCTGTTTCCCTTTCCTTATTGCCACATTTTCATATTTTCACTCTTAACGTGGGAGGTGAAATTCCTTGGAAAAAAAAAGACGACAGTTATAGAATGTGATAAAATGTGTTGGTTTTAGAAATGCACTCTCTCTCTCTCTCTCTCTCTCTCTCTCTCTCTCTCTCTCTCTCTCTCTGTTACTCTTCGGCCTTCCCACGCTACATTAGTCACCTATCCAGATAAACTTACCCGGAAACCTCCACTGATACATAAACAAGATGTCGATGATGTCCACACACTAGAAAGAAAGATAAAGGATCTGAATGGAAGTTATGCGAGCCGATACCCTCAACAATAAGATTTAGTCCTCTCAATGCTATAGATACCGAGACTTTTGACAATAGCTTAAGTCAAATTAAAGAGTTATATCAAGGGTTCAAAGTTGGTATGGTGGGGATTTTTGAGCAAGTGTGTGTGTGTGTGTGTGCGTATTTTACCAACCAAGGTGAACTTGTGTATATTCTGTAATTTAGGTTCAGTCCATCTCCTAGACATACTGTATATTACAAACATTTTCTCAACCTCAGACATTGTTCCTTGGAGGTTAACTACAGCCCTATTGTGTTTATTATTGTTGATGGTAATTTGTATACATAATGAACGAAAAAATAGTAAAAAAATAGTAGATAGTTTGGCAAAACACATGTTTATATGGCAGCAGTTTAACAAACAATAACACGCTCAGGCTCTTGTGTTGGCGTGGCATCAATACAAGAGATCCTTTATGATTCATAGTGTTCACCTTCAATTACAGTAAGTAGTGAACCAGGTTAAACTGCTTCAGGTTAATCACAATGACAAAATCTGTAAATAAATTATTTAATATATTATAAAACATAAATAATAAGATAAATAGTTAAATAGGTTATTAATCTTGAGTAGTGTTCCTGGTGATGACTGGAAGGTAACTAACGTACCCGCCGCCATAGTTCTTCCTCGCCCCGACACAACCAGCCTGATGGTTGATGTGATTTATCTTACTGAAAACTAAAGTCCATAAGAAAAAATAACTTTTCTTAAACTAAGTTTATAAAATCGAGTTTTGACGAAGTGGTTGTGTGTTTCATCATAATTTACACCAAGATACTTTATCAACATTTAGCAAGTGGAAAGTTTTATTGTATTTGGGAACGAACATTAGTTGTGATGGTAGTTGTGCAAAAGAAAAAGAAGATAAGTTCAGACAAAAACACTAAATATAAATTTAAGACGCTAAAATTGGACAATAATTTCAATTTAAGAAAAAGGCTTCTGAAATGTTAGGTATGGTCAGTGCTGTTGTATGAGTCACAAGTAGGGCCACTTTAATCCGCTATGGAGCAAGGATTTATCTCAGCTGAATATAATACCTAACGGCTACACTGCCCTCTAAAGGGTTAATCGAAATAAGCCTCTGAAATTCTGTGATTGATAAGAACAACGAGAGAAATACTGGGAATTTGCAGAATAAAGAAAATGAGATATTTTGGCCATATAATTATGGATGAAGGGATAATGTTACCAGTATTGATGGGTAAAATTAAAGGCAGGGTGGTCAGGGAAGGCAGAGGCAAGGATGAATGAATAAAATTTAAAGTTGGGTCACTAGAGAGATGCAAATTCTGGCAGGACTGCTGGTAAAGACAGCCCAAATATGTCTGCGAATGAATGACTGTGATCGCTGTATGTATATTATGTATGCTGGATTATGTATCATGTATGTATATTATGTATGTGCTCCATTTATATTTATTCAGCCTAGCTAGCAGCGTGTGGCAATGTTATTACCATATCCCACACGCAATTAATGTGCCTGGCGACGTATGGAAGCTGCTAATGTATCACTTGCCATACGTCGTCTATGGTAGTTGACCAGGACCTTAGCTAGGGAGCAGTGCTATCCACCTCTGTGTACATACTCTTATCCAGTAAACCGAACCTACAAAACTATACAGGTGTTTGTGTTCTCTCCTGTATATAGAACTTATTACCCAGAACATCTAACATGGCGCAGTGCGTAGTTTTACTGGATTATTACGAGTGATTAGTGCAAGTTTGTGGAAAGCCGGCTGATGGATCCCCGCCTTGGGTCAACCCCGCGTCATCCCTCGAAGAATTTCGCAACTTTGAGCAGTGTCAGTGACAGTGATTTTCTGTGAAGTGTTTAGTGCATTGTGTGTTTCGTGCCATTCATGTGTGACCTTGTTCGAACGGATTTCCAAGGTATACGGCATGTTCTGGGCATTTGTGGGGTGTAGAGCTCAGCGCACCCTCCTCTGACCGTTTACAGAGAGCGACTGAGCTACTCCTATCTCCACCCCCCTCCCTCACAGCGCCGCCTCCACCCCCCCCTCCCTCACAGCTGGGGCGAGACGCTCTGCCTGCCTGAGACATACACACATACATGTACTAACACTTGCTGACCGCGCGGCTTCATTATATATATTTTATATATATAACCTACTTATCTGTGTATTGAATTAAATTTTTTTTGTCTGAAATCTTTTTGATACGACGGGCTGACCGGTCAACACTGATTTAAGACACAGTACACAGATAAAGTAGTTATGTCTCATGCCTTACGTAGCCGTGGACCCAGCGCCTGGATGAGTCAAGCGGATGATAGTCCCCCAGAGATGGATGACCAGGCTGACCATGACACCCCAGCTCCCACAACATCGCGCAGCCCTTCACCTCACCATTCAGCGTTATCTCCAGAGATAATTGCCTTAATGAAGTTTATGAGAGATGAGAGACGCGAGGATGAAGCTCACAGACGTTTGGCGGATGAGCACAGAAGGCAAGCAGAGGCAGAACGAGACCACCAACGGAGAATGGAAGACAGTGCACGGTTTGAAGCCTTGATATCTCGCCTCACTGTTAACCAAGCCCCTGGCTCTAACACTGCCTCGGTACTGAATGGTTCAGATACCTCATCCATGCTCCCTTCACGCCCCCCAGCCCCACCTAAAGCAGCAGCTCAAACACCGCCCATCTTGGAGCCTGATGTAAATTTCCAGACTTTTCGCGAATGGCGGCGGCGGTGGGCTGATTATGCTACAATGGTGGATCTCCAGAGTTTGTCACAGCCTAAACAACTCATCCAGCTGCGTATGTGCCTGTCCTTGGAAGTTCAGCGTGTCTTAGAACATACGTTGCAGGTACCCCCAACCTCTTCGCTGTCTGTAGAGGAGGTACTGGACGTTCTACAACGGCACATCAAAGGACAGCAGAATGAAGCTCTGCGCAGGAGGGAATTGTTTAGCTGCAGACAGATGGAGGGTGAGTCTTTTGACGCTTTTTATGTACGTCTTAAGAGAGCCTCGGAAGAGGTAGATATATGTTTAGGCCACCACCAGCAGTGTGAGGAGACCCAGTTGAAGCAGGTGATCTTGATGGGTGTTAAGGACGAGGAACTTGTCCAACGCCTCACCTCCCTCGACTCTTCCTCTTCTCTTCAGGATGTGTTGACGATATGTCGCTCCTATGAGGCTGCCAGGTGTGCCACCTCTGCCATCCGAGCTCCCCCTACAGCTGTACGCGCTGTCCCGGTACAAGAAGGACAAGAAGTCTGCTCCTACGCCTTCGCCCACCACGTCCACGCCCGGTTCATTTTGCAACAACTGTGGTAAGCAGCACGGAACACAGGTATGTCCAGCTGCTCAGTCTACCTGCAACAGTTGTGACCGTAAGGGCCACTGGTCACTCACAGTACGGTGCCCAGCCAAACGCGTCCAGTGCAATGTGTGCGGCCGTCTGGGCCACTATGACAAGTGTTGCCCTACCCACGAACCCAAGGGACAGCGTCGGCGGAAGCTTCGGCGCCCTTCTACCAGTGAGGGCCGCCCACAGTCGCCAAATCAGAGGCACGACGACCCTGGACAAAGCCCGACCCATTTTAGGAGGGTGTACTCCTCGCATCCCAGGACCAAAGCCCCCCAGTACATCAGCGTCATCGTGACCTACGGCGGTGTGTCATCCCGTCTTCAGATGTTGCCCGACACCGGCGCTGATGCTACAGTCATCGGTCCCCAGCATTTGCGATGCTTGGGGCTCTCTCCAAGCGACCTAGGACCGCCTCCCGAGCACCTCTGCGTCACGGCAGATGGTTCACAGATGGCCCCAGCCCTGGGTTCACTCTATGCACATGTCACCTTTGGCAACAGGTCGTGTCAGGCCTGGATTGACGTGCATAATGGTGTCCCGACTCCCTTGCTGTCCTACAGACATTGTCAAGAGTTGGCCATCATCTCCCAGGACTTCCCCAAACCTATTCTTGAGGTAAGACACGCCAACAGGGTGCACGAAGGGAGCAGCAACTACCCTGCTGCCGCCCTACCCCTACCTCTGGCCAGTGACACCTCTCCTTCGGTAGTTGTCCCTGCTGCTTCACGTCCCCACGCCTTGGCTCGCCTCCACGACAGTCACCGTGGAGCCGAGGCCACCAAACGACGTGCAAGACAGACTGTGTTCCGGCCTGGCATCGACCCCGACATCTCCAATGCTGTCCAGGTGTGTAAGCCCCGCCACGTATTACAACCCAGCCAGCAGCAGGTACCCTTCATGAGTGACGACAACCCCACCCGCCCCTTTGAGTCTGTGTCGGCCGACTTTTTCTGTGTGTCAGGAAAGTCCTTCCTGGTTATCGTCGACCGTCTCTCTGGTTGGCCGGTTGTCATCAAGGGCGGTAATGACACGACGTCTGCCGCCACCATCAGCAAGTTCCGCCACTACTTCCGTGACGTGGGCGTTCCTGTACGCCTGCGAACCGACGGAGGGCCTCAGTTCACAAGCCGGGACTTTGCTGCGTTCCTCGACCGATGGGGAGTCCGGCATGTGTTGTCATCGCCCCATTACCCGCAGTCCAACGGCCACGCTGAGGCTGCTGTCAAATCTTTGAAGCACCTCATCCTTAAGGTGGCCCCTTTTGGGAATATTGACTGCGAGGCCTTCGACCGGGGTCTTCTTGAACTCCGCAACACACCTAACTACACCGGACGCTCCCCTGCCCAGGTTTTGTATGGGCGCCCCCTTCGTTCTTGTGTCCCTGCTCACCCTCAATCCTTCTCCAAGGAGTGGCAGGCCAAGACAGAGGATTGTGATCGCCGAGCCGCCGAACGTGTTCAGGACGTCGTCGCCCGCTACAACGACCACGCCCGTTCTCTCCCCAGGTTGAGTGTCGGCACCCAAGTCCGTGTTCAGGACCCGACCTCCCTACGTTGGGACAAAGTAGGCGTAGTCATGGGTCTCGGCAGGTCACGGGACTACCAGGTGCGGTTACCCAGTGGTCGTGTGTGGTGGAGGAACCGCCGTTTTCTCCGCCCCGTAACAATGCCTTCTGCTGACCCCGCCACCAGTGTTGAGTCCCATACCCTTCCCAGTGATGAAGTCCCTCGACGCTCAGAACGGATCCAGAAGAAAAGGTCCGCTCAAGACTTTGCTATGAGCGTATAGGGGGGAGGGAGGTGTATGTATATTATGTATGCTGGATTATGTATCATGTATGTATATTATGTATGTGCTCCATTTATATTTATTCAGCCTAGCTAGCAGCGTGTGGCAATGTTATTACCATATCCCACGCTTAATTAATGTGCCTGGCGACGTATGGAAGCTGCTAATGTATCACTTGCCATACGTCGTCTATAGTAGTTGACCAGGACCTAGCTAGGGAGCAGTGCTATCACACTCTGTGTACATACTCTTATCAGTAAACCGAACCTACAAAACTATACAGGTGTTTGTGTTCTCTCTGTATATAGAACTTATTACCCAGAACATCTAACAATCGCCAACCTTCAGACAGGAGGATGCCGCGATGATTGATTGATATAAAATTTAAAATAATATTTCCACAATCCCAAGGAAGTTGATTGTAGCATTGTTTCTTGCAGGTGTAGCATATTTTAATCTTAGCACTGCCCTATCGAGTTTATTAGTCCATTGATCGTTATGATATTTGAGATATGATTCGGGTAAAGTGCAGTAAAAGATAAACCATATATGATAAAATGTTTTTAAACAGTTCCTCGGGTAAATTTGATTAAGTCTAGCATTAACACAGACAATAAAGCAGGAAGTTTTTAAGAACGTGTTAAATGACTTACCAGCCTCCCAACAGCTACGACAAAGCAACCACCTCGAGTGGAGCAGAAACAGCGACAACATACATTCTCCATGCTGTGACGTTGTCGATCACCTGACTGAAAATCGTAAGAGAGTAAATAAATAATATTGTCTTGCCATACCATGTTCCTTACACTTTTATATAACAGTCAGCTTCCAAAAGTAGACCTTTATTCACAAAGAGATAGAATGGGGTGTTATTCACAAAGAGATAGAATGGGGTGTTATTCACAAAGAGATAGAATGGGGTGCTACGTATAACATTCAAGCGATAGATCATGTTTGTAAATATCTCGTAATGGCAGAAATACATTGTTTGGTTCACATTGTGTCAGCAAAACTCATAGAAGTGTTCATGTGTCATGATAATTATCTCATATTTTGCCTACAAGTAGGAGGAGTAGTGGCATTTCCTTCATGATCCAGAAAAAAAAATCAATTTCAGCAGTTTATTCCATATTATAGGAAGAGGGATCCTAGTGCTGTCACTAGGAATCTCAAGTACATATACATTAAATATTGTAATACAAAGGGGCTTACTAATGCCTAAGGAAGGAAGGAAGGAAGCTATTCCTTCAAAATAGCATCAATATCATTAATAAAATATTTAGCCAGCATGCAGGTGATAAGCATTGTGCTTCCGTCAGTAGGTTGCGGAGTGGTGGTCCATCTCAGGAAGTAGTGGATGAGTGTACGGTTGTCTGTTCTTTTGCATATTACACAAGCAGATTTCTTGGGGGAGGTTGGGATACCAATCTCCCAAGAAAAATCGCACCCGGTGATGAGTCAAGCAGCAATAACGTCCCTCTTCCGCGACCCTTTTCCGTACACATACGAAAAGTCAGGAAGTTTGCGGAGGGCATCGTACCAGGCGAGTGGGAGTCCAGAGGGATGACTGCTTCCCGAGCCTCTCTCTGTTTGTGACGAATTTGTGTTCTATGTTGTCGAATTGTTCGAGGGACGACTTAATCCGGTGTGACCATGTTAGAGCCGGTGTTGACCAGTCTATCTGCTGCCTCATTCACCGATATACTGACTTGATTTGGTATCCACAGGAATGTCACTGGACAGCCTGCATCCTGGAGTGATGAAGTTAGCTCTCGTATTCCGAGGATGAGGTCCTTGTTCTCCCATAATACAGATGCGAATATATCAAGAGGAGACCTAGAACCACAGGAGACGAGCAGGGGATTGGGTCCCCGGCTTCTTCCTCAACGAGGAGAGCAACAAGGAGGGTTGTCTGCTCGGCCTGAGTAGAGGATGCTCTGTCTAAAACTCGGAGAGAAAGTTTATCAGGTTCTGGGACACCAGGGCGGGAGATGTAGACACCAGCCATGGCCCTACCTGCAGAGGGGTCAGCAGGAATTTTTTTCTAAGCACACTGTGGAAGGTGTCACGTGTTTTTATATTTCATTTCACATAACCCTAACCAAATCCTTGTGTAAGGAGACACAGGGAGGTGAAGGTGATGAATTGGAATATCTCATCCTTCAGAAAACGATACCTTGACCTCCACCACAAAGTTGTAACTGAGGACATCGGTATTGTGTGTCTGTAGGAGCGTCTCACACCTAATGGTAAGCCCCCACCCAGTCTGTCCAATTATGTGTATTGCGATCCTAGTTCTACTCACACATGTTCGATGTATGTTAAGAAGTCACTACCGCATGTACAGTACCTCTTGTATCCAAAAAGACTACCAACTTTCGGTACCATGGAATCCCTATCCACCTGGGCAACTCAACACTCAACGTGCTAAACGTCTCAGCTCCCTGAGATCAGCTTCAATACACAGATCTCCCAGACCTTGTACACACTGAATCCACTGCCCTAATTGGCGACCTGAATACTAGACACAAGAAATTAGGTGACCCCATCACTAACAACAATGGTACGAGACATATCTCACTTCTCAGTGCATATGGAGATACTCAAATTATAAGTAATAATGAACCAACGGGGCTGTAGACAAATGTATTGGCTTTAATCTATCATATACAACTCAAAGCTCTGATGTTGTCACTGATCTTATGTCTCACCACAACCCAATCCAAGCTAGTATACATGTAGCCACTGCCACCCCCACTGGTGAAAAACTTAACAGACGTAGACTCACAGTCAAGCAAGAACATGAAAGCCAGTTTATAGACTTCATCCATGACTGGTACAAGGATTACAAGCCTGACAACTATCAAAGTATCCATGATGATCTGGTAGATAGGACTTATACATACTTCACCAACAATGCCTCTACCGAAAACGGAGGAAACGTAGTCTACATCATAAGAACAGACCACAACAGTGCTATGATGATTCCATACTGAAAATAACTCAGGGTATAGTCAGGAGGGTGGGTAAGGGTTACAAACAAGTTAGAACACCTCAAATGCTAAAATTGTATCACTCTTTCCTTACTGCAGTCAGGGAACGTGTAAACGAACTCATACACAATGCATAGGAAACATATGTGAACAGCCTGGTCTAACACAATCCCCTGATCAAAGCTTGTAGGGACTTAAACACAATCAAAGGTAAAAACAGTAGACACGTCGCCCATCCACACCCACTGCAAAAATCGAATGAGCTAATAACAAAGTGGGCTCATGTCTCTAGCTATGACATGTTATCAACTAGGACTCGAGAACTCCTTGATGTGAAGCCTATTTAGAGAAGTAATCTTATTAAATTTATGCTGGATAAACAGCATGATGAGTGAGATATTCCATATACTGAGAGGGAGTTTGACCCCGCTATCGCACAGGGATAGATCCACTGCCCTGGTGAAGAGACAGTCACTAACAATATCGTTCGACTACTAACGCCTGTATTTGGCAATCCATTATTGGCATTGTACAATATGAGCCATGCCGAAGGCCAACTACCCATATCATGGACCAACAGTATTGTTGTACCATACCGAAACCAGGACAGCCTGATGCTTTTCGTTCCATACCACTAACCAGCTGCCTATGTAAAACCCTGGAGTGGATGGTTCTTGGCAGACTCTCATATAGAATCAGAGAACACGTGTCTCCTAACGTTTTTTTAGGAAAGTCTTCGAGGTAGTAGATAATGGCGAAAATTACGATGTTATTTACTTAAAATTTAGCAAAGCGTTTGACAGAGTACCGCATCAGAGGCGTCTGAGAAAAGTTAAGGCTCATGGTATCGAGGGGAAAGTTTTAAATTGGATAAAATCATGACTCACCGATAGAACACAGAGGGTCAGCGTAGATGGTGTTAAATCTGAGTGGGGCTGTGTAACCAGTGGGATTCCCCAGGGGTCAGTACTGGGCCCACTCTTATTCATAATCTAAATGAACGATCTCTGGGATCACCAGTGACAAAAGCAAGTTTGCGGATGACACCAAAATTGGGCGGCAGATTAATTCCGGGCAGGATGCAAATGCACTACAGGAGGATTTAAATAAACTCCAGGAGTGGTCAGAAAATGGCAAATGAAATTCAACACCAGCAAGTGCAGCGTACTTAATATTGAAAGAAAAAATACTGTCACAATATACAGCCTTAACAACATCAACCTAGAGAAGTCGACTTGTGAAAGAGACTTAGGGGTACTTGTAAGCCCGTACCTACGGTCTAGAAAACAGTGCGTTAATGTTCGAAATAAGGCAAACAGAGTTTTAGGTTTTATATCTAGAAGTGTAAGTAATAAGAGTGCAGAGGTCTTACTGCAACTATATCTTGCGCTAGTCAGGCGGCACCTCGATTATGCGGTTCAGTTCTGGTGCCCTTATTATAAAATGGATACCAATTCGCTGGAGTCGGTGCAGCGAAGAATGACGAAAATGATTCCGGGACTTAGAAACAGGGCCGTCCCTATGAGGGTGCGGGGCCCGGGGCAACTCAGCCACTGCGGGGCCCCACACTAGTGTCAGATTATGCGGTCAGAGGAACCCACCCCCACCAACCCCCATGGGACTGCCGCTATGGAGGGTAAGGTCAAGGTTGCGATGGTGGCGTAAGCCATCAGGTCAGATTAACCAGTCAACAGGTAATGAGTACGAGGTCACTGGGTCTAGTGCTGGGCCCCGCGGGGCCCCCACACGCGCGGGGCCCCGGGCGGTCGCCCCTGTTCGCCCCCCCTAAAGGAAGTGCCTGCTTAGAAACCTTCCATATCAAGATAGGTTAAAGAAACTAAACTTGCATTCCCTAGAAAGACGAAGAGTGCGGGGAGATATGATAGAAGTATTTAAATTGGTGAAAGGAATCAATAAAGGAGATATAGATCAAGTTCTTATAATATCCGTAGCATCGGATTTAAGTTGGATAAGTTTAGGTTTAGGAGGGAGATAGGAAGGAATTGATTCACAAATAGGGTGGTGGACGAGTGGAACAAGCTTAGCAACTCTGTAGTAAGTGCTGGAACGCTGGAAAGTTTTAAAAGGAGGCTAGATAGTTTCATGTATGATAGAGAGTGGTAGTAACTCTCGACAGGAGCTGCCGTGCACAAGCCAACCGGCCTATTGCAGTCTCCTTATTTTCTTATGTTCTTATAAATGGCATCACCCATGGTAAAGGTGTCCATAATTGCATTACCACAATACCACATTCCTAATTGTGCATGGGGATTAAAGGCACAGACACACCACATTTCTTGACCTAAAACTTGCATCCTGTGTACCGCCGGCAAGGCCATGGGCTCATAACACTGGTCTTGCCCGCGGTGCCCACCGTTTCTGTTTGGATGTCGGTCACACTAGAATAACGCGTTATAGTACACCCTTCTTTCCTCACACAGCCAAACTGTGGAATGCTCTACCTTCTTCTGTGTTCCCATACTCATACAATCTGTCTCACCTCAAAAAGCTGGTTTACCGGCATCTTTGTGGTGTAGATTATTTTAGTCTTCTTCTCTTCTAATTTTTTTTTATTCTTATTTTTTCGGCCCCCAGGCCCCGTTTTGGGTCGATGACATGTGCCCGGGTCGGCTAGTCCCAGTAAAAAAAAAATTATATTGCCAATAGGCAACTTATATTATAAGATCTAGCCAAAATGGATATAGGAGGTCGTCTGTTGCACTGGATAAGTGGTTACCTCACTAACAGAAGGGCTGCTGCACTGGTTCGGGGTTACAAACGTGAAGTTAAGGAGGAGTACTTAGTCCCTCTTCGTTCAATGTTCTTATGAATGCATTATTAAATTCAATACCAGACAACCCCAGCAATAGCACACTCAGCTCTGCTGATGATATTCTTGTAAATACTAAAACTCATCGTGAAATGCAAACCACCCTGAACCATGTATATGCAGCCTGTGAGAACCTCGGACTTATTATCTCCACTGAGAAAACTAAGGTGTTCAACAAACAAGCTGGTAACGGCAAATGCGGCCCCGCCAAGTTCAAGATAGGTAACAACATTATTGACTATGTTTCTTCTTTTGAATATCTTGGTGTTCCGCCCCTTGTACCTTACCTGCCATACAACAGCTAACTCGCCAAGGTACTGGCAGACTGAAACCTCTTAGAAGTGTAGCGGGGTAAAGCCCACATTATTGTGTTAATATTAGAATTGTTAAAACACAGTACTGCCTGATAGATTACCACGCATCAGCCCTGGTCCTTCGTGACGGGTAAGGCATTGACATGCTCGAAAAAATGCAACATAAAGCCCTCAGAATTATCCTAGGATGTCCCATGAGCACTTAAGTACTTAATATGATGAAATAACTAGGTATACACAGTGTCAAAGATAGATTAATTGAAGTCAACCTCATGATAGGCCTGAGGCTTTTGCTTGGTGATACTGATAACATTGTTTCCTTAAAATTACTAGAATGTATGAACCATGGGACTGGTGAGGCTAAATGGATCCAAACTACAGCTACACATAATTATGAAAATGTTTGGACGAAACCATCTGTACAAAGTTGAGACACAACAGCACTTCCTATCACCCTGGCGAATAGTTCCCTTCGATATCACAATACAGACCTATCCGCCTAAGTGATTAATTATACAAAGTATTTATCTCCTGTCAAAGTCAGAGCTCTTTAACACATACACACCCTACAGACTGACGATAACATCACACAGACCATCTACACTGATGGATCTCTTAACACCGCCTGTGGGAGGGCTGGAAGTGCTATCGTTGTGACAACCTAACGGTAATACAATTGAGAAAGGAGGTAGAATTAACAACTGGGCATCCACTCTACAAACTGAATTAGTTGCCATACTCACAGCTATTAAATTTATTGAAACCACTGTCACTGACAGTCTCATCATCACTGATTCTCTATCCTCACTACTTGCCAGACACAAATATGCGTACCTTGTTGACCTGGGTGTCAAGATCAAACTGTTGTGGATCCCCTCTCACATACTGTAGGCCTCAAAGAACATGGCACAGTTGATGCCCTCGCCAGATTCGCGGCTAATAAACACTGTTGAATACAATCTTGATCTTTAAAAAAAATAAAATAAATAAATAAATAAAAAATCCTTTAAACTTTAATTAGAAAATTACTTATAGATGAATTTGACGCAAGCATACAAGTGTAAACAGGATTTAGTCAATCCATTGTTTACCATGGTGAGACGTGTCAAGCGAAACATGTACAGTATATGAAGCAAGTAACATGATCACTAGATTAAAAGATGTTGTTACCGCTAGACTAAGGCTAGGTTATAAGTACCTTTGGCAGTATATCCCTCAAGCAGATGTGAACAAAACTAAATATAAAGTGTGGTCAAACGTATGGCCACACACTCGAACACTACGTCTTCGACTGGATGAAGATAGAACCTTTAAGGGACAGGTCCAAGCGCACTGTCTGTGAAATGGCACAACACTTTATCTCTAATGGCAAGATAGTTGACATATTGAGATTATATCCACGTTTTTGCACTCAATAGCTATATAATTTCCCATGTATAGAACCAAACACACAACGTGCTTAAATACCTCTTACTAACGCAAATGTGAATAACAAAGTGTGCGGCCAGACATACTGCCGCACACTTCTGTACTCACACAGTTGCGAATAAGTTACCCTCTATGTATAGAACTAAGCAAAGAATTTATTTTAAATACTCTATAATATTCAATGCCATAATATCCTGACCTTTGGGTTAGTTATAAAGACCGTTTGTGAACTCTATTCAGTAATCCTTTTGCGCTACCGCTCACAGGATGAGTATGGGGTGCACACAATAAGCTAGCCGCCATAAGATGGTAAAATTAGAAATTAAAACAAAATATGTAAGAGTAGTTTTCGGTGGCATTATGAAATCTGTTCTTTTTTCTTAGCTACTATGGTATAGTCTCGTCGGACAGTTTGTTCTCATAGCAAAATTATTAGTACAAAATATAGTGTGACAGCCTTCACCTACATAGTCTTGAACCCATAAAAACAGAGTTTCCATCTCTCATAATTTGTTATTGTTGTTGAACAAGTGTATTTGTGATCGTTTTACGAGTTTAAAGACATTCTTCGTTAAAACGCTGTAATAACAGTATTATAACCTTTACAATGGTTATTTTGGGGTATTAAGTAAATGTCTGTTTTTATATATTGAACTAGCGGAATCGCTCTTTCGACTATGCCGCGGAAGGACGCCATCCTCCGGGAGGCTCCACATTGTCTCACTGTAGTGCATTAAGGTGTCTGCTTTGATCCTGACTTTGTACTCGTCAGAAGACATGTTTTCCAGGGCATTTTTAAATGACTGTACATACGTGTTGTGCTCATGCAGCATTTCTTGGATAGATAGGACAATGTCATGTCTGACACCTTGAATGTTGCCACACCTAATAGTAGTCTGCTTTTCATGATCTCCCATGAAGTAGATTTGGAGGAACATTGCCTGCTCTTCTTCCAGTGGTAAGAGGGATCCTGCTTTGTGATAGACATGACCCTGGACTTTGAATGTGGGCATGTATCCGTGCTCACGAACTACTGTGGTAGCTCCAAAGGATGTCATCTGGAAGCATGAATTGTACTTCCGTATATTTTCCAAGAAGTGTTTGACTCTGGTGTTGTTCCCAGCATGAGAGTCTTCAGTGGTTGTGGTGGTTTTTCCAAATTAAGCAGTCGTACTTTCCCATGAGAGCAGCACAGTCCAGCAGATTCTCCTTTGTACTTCTTTGCACCGCAGTATTCACATGTCTTATCCATGTTGCCAATGACAACAGAGGGATACCTTCATATTCTATATAAAACATCATCCATCATCACTACATATAACACCACCCATCATCACTACATATAACACCAACCATTATCACTATGTATAACACCACCCATTATCACTAGATATAACAACATCCATCATCACTACATATAACATCATCCATCATCACTGCATATAACATCATCCATCATCACTACAGATCGGTAAAGTAGTTTCCGAGATTCTCGTGCGGACACACAAACAAAAAAACACACATACACAAACAAACAGACAAACTTCTTTGTATTATATAGTTAGATAAAATTCCGTCAGGAGAATCAAGAAATAAATTGACTAAAGATTAATTTAAGAAGCTTTCTTATAAGGACACAAACCGTTGTTGAACTACATCAGGTTTAAGTTTAGAGTAAACCAACTACTATCAATGTTAATTATATCTCGTCGATGAAAGTGAGGAAAGTACTTACTACTTATCGTTTCTTAAGTCAACTTTGCTTTGAGTTTTCTCGCCTATTGGCTTTGTGTGTAGTGAATTAAACAAACGCGTTAGTGAAATTTGCTACGTAAACAAACTATTATTAAGGATGAGAAACTAACCTTTAACCATCGTTACTCTCATAAAACTTGATAGTTACACTGCAGTGAAAGAAGAGTATATTCGTTTTTCTGATGGTCATGATGCAAAAAGCTCAACTTTAAACAGTAAAGGCAAAATATTAACTGTTACTTTGTACGGCTGGCAAGCATGAGCACTAAGCTGAGTCACTCCGCTCAGGGGGCAACTTTAGACTAAAGATATGTGAGTTTTATTCTTACTGTACTATAGATGATAACGTTGTCACGAATGCAATTAAGGCACTATTACAATGATAACTGTTACCTACCGTTTTTGCTGCGTTATTCCTCTATTGATAAACTGGCACAAGTCACTGTCCTAAAACATCAACGGGCAATATAGCGATAGTTGTGGTGCTGACAGGTTGGGCACGAACACTAGACTGGGAAATTTTTACATCTCAAGGGTCTTATACTCTTATCTACACTCTTTCGCTCAGGATATTGTACGTGATGCCAGAAGCTTACATTCAAGCTATGATTTAACTCACACAGTTTTGAAATGTAGAATGTTATAGTTCACAAGAATCATAACATTTTAAACTGTGGTACCATTCCGGACTCATGTAAACTCCATGGTAGATGTTACACTTATAAATACGGTGAAAATATTGGTGTGCTTGAGTTATAGACCTTAAAGTATCCGCTCTCAAAACTCTTGGTAATAGTGGTGACGCAGGAACGTATTTCCCAGCGTGGAAACTCTAATAACATTGTAGTATCTTAACTAGATGCAATATTTAAATTATCATGAGCACCACTGAAAACTCTTGCTGAATTTCGTATTGTACTCTTCTCACTAATACCTTTCACTTCCTGCCAAGATGAGGCCTCAGATAAGACTTTACTCAACTTGCATCTCATATTTTCACTTGATATTAGAACTCGTTGATAGATTCCTCGCCGCTTCTTCATTATATTGGTTCTCGATTTTCTTTCTCTTTCTTACATCACCTTGTAGCTGCAGTATCATTTATTTATTTCATTTTATTTTTATGAGCGAAGAAACCCAGACGAAAATGTTGATCGAGGAAGCGGGATCCTAGTGCTGTCACTAGGTACCCCTGTACAATAACACCAGAAGCATCTGGCAAGTGTGACAAGTATATACAGTATAAATATTATAAAGGGGCTTACTAAAGCCTAAGGAAAGAAGGATATTCCTTTAACACATAATCAATGTTATTTACATAGTATCTGGCCAGTATGTCCTTCTTATCTTAGGTGGGAAGTACAGAGTTTGTGAGCTTCAGGAACCACGTCCTGTCCCTGCTTTCGGATAACATATGCAGTCAGTACCACCACTCACCAGGAGGGTGTGTGTACGTGTGGCGGGATACGACGTCTCACTTTCCAGGACCAAATTCAGTTCCCGTACGTCAATTTCTGTATCAACTGAAAATCCGAAATCCGTGAGGAGTTTTTCTGTATCCTGTAGTGTTGTTGCTGTTGGGATTTCGACATCAAACATAATTTTCTCTCGAGCTTTAGAAAGTTGGCTATGATAAACAGCTCGCTTATTGTTGTTGTTTTTTTAGCTGCTCATACTTTTGTCGGAAAACATTTAACCTCCCATATGATGTCCATGTATTGCTTTGTATGCTGAATCTTAATATGCTTGACTCTGACAATGTTCTCTCCTTTACTCAACTGTTGGGTGACGGGTTCTGCTCCTCGCTTAAGTTCAGGGTTGCCAACTCGGATTTTCAAATGTCGCTAGGCTGGTACCTAAAAGTAGCTAAATGTCGCTAAATCTTCCATGGAAAGTCGCTAGCTATTATTCCCCCCCTTCAGGAATTTGATGCAAATAATATTTTCATAATGCCGACTATAATGGACGGAGTATAAATAAAATGCATTGTGTAAAAATAAAAATATTATTTTTTTTAAAGTTTAATGTGCACACTTACCTATTATTCAATAGTAATTGCATCCCAGTCCTCTTCGTAGTGTGAACAACTGTAGAGCTGGAAGCATGTGAAGTGCTTGGTTCAGGTTCTCTTGTAACTGTATGCCTCCACAGTCCCTATCTTTCTTAAAATATCACTAGGAAGTTCATAACTTGCACAACAGGTGTTCTGTCTTTTTAACCCATACTTTATTGTAAGAATTGCCTTTAATGTCGATAGTTTCATTTTGTTGCGCAATTTTGATTTCACAAAGTTCATATTATTAAATGTGCGCTCTACATCTGCGTTTGAATGCGGAAGAGATAAGGCAGCGAGTGCAATTTCAGCCAGATCATGGTAAGGGTTTTCACCGGTCGCATCTCTGTAATTTGCCACTTCTGACCACAATTTTAGGGTGTTAGATGTTTCTGTCCAGATTGTGTGATGCAGTTTTTTCCACTGGAAATCAATCTTGGTAAGGGTGCTGGAATCTTTTGTAAATAAGTGTGCCAAACCAAGTATATCTGATTTAATAGGCTTCAAGCATTCATTGGCACTCAGAAAAGAAATAGACTGCAGCACACGAATGTTGTCAGGTAAGCGTTGACGAAGTTGTTTTATGAGTTCAACCCGTTCAAATGTATTGTCCCTGTAACCCCGTTGCTATATATTATGGCTCGAAATTAGGA